CTTGCATGTGGCCTGGGGGGGCATCTCGGCACTTCGCATCAAATTTCCATCAATACTGAACTCACTGCTTTCTCTTCGTCGCTCGTCCCCGTTCCGCACTGCTCCTCCTTCTCCTCATCATTATCCTTCTCATCGTGTTCCCGTATTCTCTCTCTCTCTCTCTCCCTCTCCCTCTCCCTCTCCCTCTCTCTCTCTCTCTCTCTCTCTTTCTCTCCTCATGATCCTCTTCTTCCTCTGCTTCTCTCCTCTAATGCTCCATCTCCATCCCCTTGACTCCGTTCCCCCGCTCCTCCTCATGCTCCTCCCGTCCTCCTCCTCCTCCTCCTCCTCCTCATCTGCTGGTGCTCCTCCTCTTCTCTCACCAACCCTTCCCATCCTCCTTCTCACCGCCTTCCAGCTCTCTCGGGCACACGTTGACATGGAGGATGAGGATGAGGAGGAGGAGGAGGAGGAGGAGGAGGAGGAGGAGGAGGAGGGGGAGGAGGAGGAGGAGGAGGAGGAGGAGGAGGAGGAGGGAGGAGGAGGGGGAGGGGGAGGAGGAGGAGGGAAGGAGGAGGAGGAGGAGGAGGAGGAGGAGGAGGAGGAGGAGGAGGAGGAGGAGGAGGAGGAGGAGGAGGAGGAGGAGGATGGAGGAGGAGCGCGCTGGCGCCGATCCACTGCTCGAGGAGAGCAACCCCCCCGAAGCCCTGAAAAGCCGGTGCCGCCCGACCCTTGGCGACGCAGCGCGCCGATTGTGCACGGAAGCGAGACACGTCGCTAATCCGCGCTTCCCCTCCTCCCCTCCTCCTCTCCTCCTCCTCCTCCTCCCCTCCTCCTCCTCCGACTCCCTCCTCCTCTCTCCTCCTCCTCCTCCTCCTCCTCCTCCTCCTCCTCCTCCCCCCTCCTCCTCCTCCGCCTCTTCCTCCTCCCCCTCCTCCTCCACCTCCTCCTCCTCCTCCGTGTCTGCGTTTCCTCGACTGCACGTCGTTCATTTCTAGTCGTGCTCGTTTCTAACTGTGCTCGTTTCTATTCGTTTCTGGCCCCCTGGTGGCCAGGAGGAGGCCCAGGATAGAGCAATTAGAAACGAAAGGATCTTGGCCCCCCCAAAAGCAAAGATCTTTCGAACAATCAGAAATGAACAATGTGTGTGTACCCCTCCTGCTCAGTTCTCCCGCAGGCTCCCGCTTCCCCTCCGCCTCCCCCTCCTCTCCTCACCTCGTCGACAGTTCCAGCGACACGCCGCGCCGCCACCGCACGTGTCTTTGTCTGCTCGATGCCCACCTCCACCGCTCATTCCCAAGCCCTGAGATCCGACGTTGCGGAAAAGTTGCAACCTCGCGAGGACTCGCAACCTGAGCCCTGGACCCATCCTTCCTGCGGCATGTTTTCGAGCCGGATCAATCTGTGGTGGCACCGGGGTCCGAAACGGGCCGGAAACGCCAAGTGTGGAAAATTGCAACGCCCCAATCTCAAGGCTGTCTACTCCGTGTCCCACCTCCAGCGCTCACCTCAGGCGCTCCTTCCCCCCTGCCTGGACAGGCCTCCTAGATGGGGTCCGTGTAGACAGGGTCGGAGAATCGCGTCGCATCGCCAATGCACCGCCGATGCGTCGGCGCCGCACCGTCGATGCATTGGCGACGTCGGCGATGCATCGGCGTCATCAGCGTGAGAAATCCGGGCTCCACATCGAGCCGCATTGTCGACGCATGGGCGATGCCCAGCGATCCTCCGACCCCATCTACTCCGACCCCATCTGGGAGGCACAGACTGCCGCTCTCGGCGAGGTCCTGCCTCGCTCACCCTGGTCGCTGGGAACGGCTCGCACGCGCCTCCCTCCCCGCGCCCTCCCCGCGGTCGCCCCTCTCGGGCTCCCCCCTCGGTCGCCACGCGCGGGAGCACAGGCCAGCCCCGGGTGGGGCCCTTCTGCCACGCGCACGGCCAGCACTGCGCGCTGCCGCCTGCCAGGCCCGAGCCAGTTCGAGCCGCGAAATCGGCTCAGCTCGGGAACGCCTCGGATCGCGAACGCATCTTCCCGAAGCGACTCGCAACCGAAGCGCTGGGCCCAACTCCAGCTGGCCCCGGCCGATGCCGGCGAATCGAACGGAATCGGATCGGAATCGGGGTCGCGGCCCCAGCCGGCGAATCGAATCGCATCGAATCGGACTGCAAGCTGCCCTGGCTGCTCCAGCGCCCCCCCTCGGTCCGTGCTCCCGCGCCACGGCGACCGCGGACGCGCTGGGTGGTGCACGGCACTGGCGGAGCAGCAGATCATGCACGCATGCACGCGCGGGCGCGCGCATCGCGCATGCGCGGCCGCGCGCATTGCACATCTTTCACAGAGCTCTCTCACTTCCACTCTCTATCTCTCTCTCTCTCTCCCCCCCCCCCCTCTTTCTCGCGCGGACCCTCGCCTGCGGCAGAGCTCCCACGGCTTCATCGCGTTGGAGATGTCTGCGCAGTGCAGAAGTGCGTTCAGCGTGGTCTGGACATTCTGCTGGGACTCGTTCACCTCGGAACCATGTTGGGGGCGCCACTCGCTGAGAACTGCCATCGGTGGGGAATGCTCAGGAGATAAGCATGTCAGCACGCTGACCTAGGGAACACAAGAATTCGATGTAAGATGGATAATGACGAAGAACCTTTATGGACACTCCGTACCCCCGTCGCCACAGATCCAGGGCTCAGCTTGTCAAACGTGTCGGAGTTCATCTGGTAGAGCAGACCGAGCTCCTCGCAAAGGCTAGAAGCTGAAACTGGGATCGAAAACAGAAACGGTACCAGATCAAGTTGGCCAGATGGCCCTGGAAGAGAAGAAACCTCATCAAACCTTCTTGCACGCAATGGCACGCCTGATTTTTATGGAATACGAGGTGCAACGTTTCGAGCATCTCGGCAAGCATGTGCAATGTTCGATCTGGATCGGCCACACGCGGACCCTACAATCGCACGGTAACTCCTTGACCATGTCATTGTGCTTGATCATGTCCGTGTGCAAAATGGCAGCAATGATGCCCTTCCGCACCTCCTTGTGCAGGTCCTTGTCAAAGTTACAAAATATATCACATTCGTGATCCTTCACGATGTGGAACAGCTTCGAGCAGTGCATCATCTCCATCGGTGACGAGTCGTTGTACTTGAGGGCAAGCTCGTGAGAGCTCTCCTGGGTGCTCATTATTTGCAGGAGGGGGGCAACTTTGGGCTAGGACGTTATCTGGCAGAAGGCTCTGAAAATTGTCCGAGACTGTCCTCCTCCTCCTCCTCCTCCTTCTTCTCGCTCTACCCTCCTCCTCCTCCTCCTCCCTCCTCCTTCTCCTCCTGCTCCTTCTCCTCCTCCTCCTCCTCCTCCTCCTCCTCCTCCTCCTCCTCCCCATCTCCTGTTCATCCCTCCCTCCACACATGAGGTGTCGAAGGCGGCCTGGACGGTCCTTCAGCAAAACACACAAGCCCTTTCCGAAACTAAGCACGGCCCTGTGACCATGCCACCCCGAGCTACAGTCGGGGCGCTGAGGAAGGAACCCTTTTCGTTGGGGAGGGGCTCGGTGCTCCTTAATGTTAGTGCAGTTCGCCTTTGGTTTTGCTTAGGGCTTCGATGGGAAATCTAAGTTTAACTTGTGGGAAAAAAGGGCCTCGTTCCTTATTTAGGGTTCCTTAGGTCAACGCCCCGACTGTACTTCTGTCTGCTGGCACCATTCCATAAGTTGGACTTCGACTTCCCATCGAAAACAGAAGGAAAACCAGAGGCAAACTGTGAAACACTTAAGGAACACGGAGCCCCTCCCCAACGAAAAGGGTTCCCTCCTCAGGGCCCGACTGTACTTCTGTTTGCTGGCACCGTTCCACACAGGCGAGGGCAGGGGAGAGGAGCAGCTCCATCAGAAACTGGTTGTTCAGGCCCAGGTGCCCCACGTCGTGCGCCACGGCCGCGACGAGCAGGAGGTACTCCGACACCTGAGGGCACCCTGCACTGGCTGCACTGCAGCACCGCGGTGCCAGCAACGAGTCAGCACCAATAGACTCGATCGCCCCCCTCCGAGGACCTGCCAGACAAGAGATATGGACTATTACTTCTGCTGCGCCTTCTTGTGCCCTCTCCAATGGTGGTCCCTTCCCAAAGATCAACGCAGGTGCTGGGCCCCTGGAAACACTGAAGGGCTTTTACACATGACCACAGCCATAGCTCTCCTTCTCCCCCCTCGCTCTCTCAAAAAACAAACCAATAGTCACCCAGAACAGATGCCCATCTCCCTAGCACATTCCGTATTTCGATGTGTGAATCCCCTTCCCACCTGACCCTCCACCAAGCTGTGTCGGTAAGACTGTTGATTGTACCCCTGGATCTGCGTGGGGAGGCATTCTCGCCCTCAACCTACCCCAACCCCCTCGCTGAATTGAAACCTCTCCCTCCTCCTCCTCCTCCTCCTCCTCCTCCTTCTCCTCCTCCTCGTCCTCCTCGTCCTCCTCCCCCTCCTCCTCCCTCCTCCCTCCTCCCACTGCTCCCTAGATTCTCTGCTGCTTCTCCATCCGCTGCCGCCTCGGAGACGAAATTACCTGCGTCGATCAAGTGCATGTACCTCGACACGGAGTCCACTGGTCCCCTCCGATGGGGGAAAGCGTCTTCCGACGCAGAACCTGAAACTTGCACTCGCACGTGTCAAACGATATGATGCTGTTTGTGTATCGCCCGGTCGCCAATGTAGGCGGCCATGCTCCATTGTGGTCACAATGCTATGCTTGATTCGACGTGTAGCATGGGCAGATGGTGTGTACACATAACGTGCTGGTGCATTTGTCCCTCACGCACAGAAGGGGTGCCGGAAGAACAAAAAGTCTTAAGCAACCTTTCCGCGGCGCAAGCTTTGCGACAAAAGTGGTGTTCAAGAACTCCTTGGCACATCAGCGCGCAACGAACATGTCGCGAAAATCGGCCCGCAAATGCGAACGAAAGCCGACGAGGAGGACAAGGAGGAGGAAGGAGAGGAGGAGGAGGAGGAGAAGGAGGAGGAGGAGGATGGAGAGGGGAGGAGGGAGAAAAAGGGGCAAGGCGCTGCGAGGATAACCCGTGTGACTCAATGGCGGGGCGCTGATTATCATTTAACCCTATCGATTAGCTACTTCTTCTTGGGTTTTGGGGGAAATTCGAAGGCTACCTTCGAATTTCCCAAGAATCTCAATACGTTCTGAAACAAAATTAAATGCAATATTATTCTTCTGGGGCTGGCCTGGGGCTTGAAATTACAAGGTAACCCTGAAATTTCCGAAGAATAATAAAAACTTCAAATTATTATTCTTGGCGTGCGCGGTCCTGCTGCTTTAGCATGGAGGGTGAATTTGAGGCGCGCAACGTAAATTATTCTTGGCTGGGCGGGTGGCAAGGAGGGTTTCCCTGAATTTGCCGGTGGGGGACAGCCTATCGGGGGAAGCCTATGGAAGCCTGTGAAGGGCGGCCTGCGAGGGGCAGACTCTGGGAATCCTTGGGGATCCCTTGGGAATCCCTAAGGAATTTCTAAGGAATCCTTAGGAATCCCTAGGGCATCCACAAGAATCCCAAGGGAATCCTAAGGAATCCCGAGGGCATCCCTAGGAATCCCTAGGGAATCCTTAGGAATCCTTAAGGGCTCCTCAAGAATCCTAAGGGAATCCTGAGGGATCCCTTGGGAATCGTCAGGAATCCCTAACGTGTCGTTAAGAATCCCCGCGGACTCCAGAAACCCTCGGGGGTCCTTATGGCTCCCTCGGAAATCCAAGAGAATCCCTGCGGACTCCTTGGGATTCAAAGCGGGATCTTCAAGAGTCCCTCGGGAATCCTGAGGAATCTCTCGGCGCTCCCAAAGAATCCCTTCGGAAATCCTCAGGAATCCTTCGGGGATCCTGCGGGGTCCTCAGGAAATCTTTCGGATTCCCTCGGGGCTTATTAGGAATCCCTGGTGAATCCCCAAGAATCCCTAGGGCACCCTAAGGAACCCCAAGGGGAACCTCAGGAATCCCTAGGACATGGCCCGGCGCCCTCCGAGGAATCCAGATGACTGCCACCTTGGACGTTTTCCATGCAGCGCATGCACACCAGGTGACCCACGAAGGGGTGGGTCACCAGAACACTGGTTGAGAGAAACAAATTGCTTCACCTGCATCCTGGGCCTCGTCATGAGGCGACGCACTGCCACTCAATATGTTTGCCATGCGGCGCAAGCACACCAGGTGACCCACGAAAGGGGTGGGTCACCAGAGAACTGGCTGGGAAAAACCAATGGTCTCACTTGCATTCTGGGCCTCAACATGAGGCGATGCACTGCCACTCAATACGTTTGCCGTACGGCGCAAGCACACCTGGTGACCCACGAAGGGGTGGGTCGCCAGAAAACTGGTTGAGAAAAACAAATGGTTTCACCTGCGTTCTGAGCCTCAACATGAGGCGACGCACTGCCACTCAATGCGTTTTCGATACGGCGCAAGCACACCAGGTGACCCACGAAGGGGTGGGTCACCAGAAAACTGGTTGAGAAAAACAATTGTTTCGCTTGCATTCTGGGCCTCAACATGAGGCGACGCACTGCCACTCAATGCGTTTTCCATACGGCGCAAGCACACCAGGTGACCCACGAAGGGGTGGGTCACCAGAAAACTGGTTGAGAAAACCAATTGTTTCACTTGCATTCTGGGCCTCAACATGAGGCGATGCACTGCCACTCAATACGTTTCCCATGCGGCGCAAGCACACCAGGTGACCCACGAAAGGGGTGGGTCACCAGAAAACTGGTTGAGAAAAACCAATTGTTTCACTTGCGTCCTGGGCATTGCCACTGAATGCGTTTTCCATACGGCGCAAGCACACCAGATGACCCACGAAGGGGTGGGTCACCAGACAACTGGTTGAGAAAAACCAATCGTTTCACTTGCATTCTGGGCCTCAGCATGAGGCGATGCACTGCCACTCAATGCGTCTTCAATACGGCGCAAGCAAACCGGGTGACCCACCAAGGGGTGGGCCACCAGACAACTGGCTGAGAAAAACAAGTTGTTTCACTTACATTCTGGGCCTCAACATGAGGCGACGCATTGCCACTCAATACGTTTTCCATACGGCGCAAGCACACCATGGGGACCCACGAAGGGGTGGGTCACCAGAGAACTTGTTGGGAAAAACAAATTGTTTCACCTGCATCCTGGGCCTCGTCATGAGGCGACGCACTGCCACTCTGTATGTTTGCCATACGGCGCAAGCACACCAGGTGACCCACGAAGGGGTGGGTCACCAGACAGCTGGTTGAGAACAACCAGCTGTTTCATTTGCATACTGGGCCTCAACATGAGGCGAGGCATTGCCACTCAATACGTTTGCCATACGGCGCAAGCCCACCGGGTGACCCACGGAGGGGTGGGTCACTAGAAAATTGGTCGAGAAAAACAAATGGTTTCACTTGCATTCTGGGCCTCAACATGAGGCGACGCACTGCCACTCAATGCGTTTTCGCTACGGCGCGAGCACACCAGGTGACCCACGGAGGGGTGGGTCACCAGACAAGTGGTTGAGAAAAAAAATTGTTTCACTTGCATTCTGGGCCTCAACATGAGGCGAGGCATTACCACTCAATACGTTTCCAGGCGGCGCAAGCACACCAGGTGACCCACGAAGGGGTGGGTGACCAGGAAACTGGTTGAGAAAAACAAATGGTTTCACTTGCATTCTGGGCCTCAACATAAGGCGACGCACTGCCACTCAATACGTTTCCCATACGGCGTAAGCACACCGGGTGACCCACGAAGGGGTGGGTCACCAGAGAACTGGTTGAGAAAAAAAACCCACTTGCATTCTGAGCCTCAACATGAGGCGACGCATTGCCACTCAATTCGTTTTCCATGCAGCGCAAACACACCAGGTGACCCACGAAGAGGTGGGTCACCAGAGAACTGGTTGAGAAAAACAAAATGTTTCAATTGCATTCTGGGCCTCAACATGAGGCGACGCATTGCCACTCAACACTTTTTTTCCATACGGCGCAAACACACCGGGTGACCCACGAAGGGGTGGGTCACCAGACAACTGGTTGAGGATAACCAATTGCTTCACTTGCATTCTGGGCCTCAACATGAGGCGATGCATTGCCACTCAATACGTTTTCCGTACGGCGCAAGCACACCAGGGGGCCCACGAAGAGGTGGGTCACCAGAAAACTGGTTGAGAAAAACATATTGTTTCACCTGCATCTTGGGCCTCGTCAGGTGTTTGCCATACGGCACAAGCACATCAGGTGACCCACGAAGGGGTGGGTCACCAGAAAACTGGTTGAGAAAAACCAATTGGTTCATTTGCATTCCGGGCCTCAACATGAGACGAAACACTGCCACTCAATACGTATTCCATGCGGCGCAAGCACACCAGGTGACCCACGAAAGGGGTGGGTCACCAGAAAACTGGTTGAGAAAAACCAATTGTTTCACTTGCGTCATGGGCATTGCCACTGAATGCGTTTTCCATACGGCGCAAGCACACCAGATGACCCACGAAGGGGTGGGTCACCAGAGAACTGGTTGGGAAAAACCAATGGTCTCACTTGCATTCTGGGCCTCAACATGAGGCGAGGCACTACCACTCAATACGTTTCCAGGCGGCGCAAGCACACCAGGTGACCCACGAAGGGGTGGGTCACCAGAAAACTGGTTGAGAAAAACAAATCGTTTCTCTTGCATTCTGGGCCTCAACATGAGGCGAAGCACTGCCACTCAATGCGTTTTCGATACGGCGCAAGCGCACCAGGTGACCCACGAAGGGGTGGGTCACCAGAAAACTGGTTGAGAAAAACCAAGTATGTCACTTGCAGTCCGGGCCTCAACATGAGGCGAGGCATTGCCACCTAATACGTTTTCCATGCGGCGCAATCACACCAAGTGACCCACGAAGGGGTGGGTCACCAGAAAACTGGTTGAGAAAAACCAATTGTTTCACTTGCATTCTGAACCTCAACATGAGACGAAGCACTGCCACTCAATAGTTTTCCATGCGGCGCAAGCACACCAGGTGACCCACGAAGGGGTGGGTCACCAGAAAACTGGTTGAGAAAAACCAACTGTTTCACTTGCATTCTGGGCCTCAACATGAGGCGAGGCATTGCCACTCAATACGTTTGCCATGCGGCGCAAGCACACCAGGTGACCCACGAAGGGGTGGGTCACCAGCAACTGGTTGAGAAAAACCAACTGCTTCACTTGCAGTCTGGGCATGAATATGAGGCGACGCGCTGCCACCTAATACGTTTCCCATACGTTCCATACGGCGCAAGCACACCAGGTGACCCACGAAGGGGTGGGTCACCAGAAAACTAGTTGAGAAAAACCAATTGTTTCACTTGCATTCTGGGCCGTAGCATGAGGCGACGCATTGCCACTCAATGCGTTTTCCTTGCAGCGCAAACACACCAGGTGACCCACGAAGAGGTGGGTCACCAGAAAACTGGTTGAGAACAAACAATTGTTTCACTTGCATTCTGGGCCTCGTCATGAGGCGATGCGCTGCCACTCAATACGTTTGCCATACGGCGCATGCACACCAGGTGACCCACGAAGGGGTGGGCCACCAGAAAACTGGTTGAGAAAAAAAACTTGTTTCACTTGCATATTGGGCCTCGTCATGAGGCGATGCGCTGCCATTCAATACGTCAGGTGACCCACGAAAGGGGTGGGTCACCAGAAAACTGGTTGAGAAAAACAACTGTTTCACTTGCATTCTGGGCCTCAACATGAGGCGATGCATTGCCACTCAATGCGTCTTCAATACGGCGAAACACACACCAGGTGACCCACGAAGGGGTGGGTCACCAGAAAACTGGCTAAGACAAACCAACTGTTTCACTTGCATTCTGGGCCTCAACATGAGGCGACGCATTGCCACTCAATATTTTTGCCATACGGCGCAAGCGCACCAGGTGAACCACGAAGGGGTGGGTCACCAGAAAACTGGTTTGGAAAAACAAATTGTTTCACTTGCATTCTGGGCCTCAACATGAGGCGATGCATTGCCACTCAATGCGTTTTCCATGCGGCGCAAGCACACCAGGTGACCCACGAAGGGGTGGGTCACCAGAAACCTTGTTGAGAAAAACAAATTGTTTCACCTGCATCCTGGGCCTCGTCATGTGGCGACGCACTGCCACTCAATATATTTGCCATACGTCGCAAGCACACCAGGTGACCCACGAAGGGGTGGGTCACCAGAAAACTGGTTGAGAAAAAACAGTTGTTTCACTTGCTCTCTGGGCCTCAACATGAGGCGATGCATTGCCACTCAATACGTTTGCCATACGGCGCAAGCACACCTGGTGACCCACGAAGGGGTGGGTCATCAGAAAACTGGTTGAGAGAAACCCATTGTTTCACTTGCATTCTGGGCCTCAACATGAGGCGGCGCACTGCCACTCAATGCGTTTTCGATACGGCGCAAGCACACCAGGTGACCCACGAAGGGGGGGTCACCAGAAAACTGGTTGAGAAAAACAACTGTTTCACTTGCATTCTGGGCCTCAACATGAGGCGATACATTGCCACTCAATACGTTTTCCATACGGCGCCCTCCGAAGAATCCAAGATGACTGCCACCGAAACATGTACGGACATGCGGCGCCGAACGGTGCCGGGCCATGTCCGAGACATGGCCCGGCACCCTCCGAGGAATCCAAGGTGGCAGTCATCTGGATTCCAGATACCAGATGGTGTCCAAAATGCGGCGCCGAGACATGCCCCTGGCGCCCTCCGAGGAATCCACGATGACTGCCACCTGGCCCAAACAGGCCACCAGGGCCGCCAAGATTGCCCAAGACCGATTCAAGACGGCCCAAGACGCAAAACGACCTAAGATGGCCTCGAGACGGCCCAAGCGGCTTCCCAAAACGGCCCGGCACGGCTCCAAGAGGGCGTCCAGGGAGGAATCCTCCAGGACGGGGCTCCAGAAACCAGCAGAATCCATCAGAATCCGTCAGGGCCCCTAAGATTCCTGGGGGGTCCTGGGCAAATCCAGGGGGTATGCTTCCAATTTGGGGGTGCTGCCGCAATTTGAAATTATTATTATTCTGGGCGCCTGCGGCGGAGTTTGGAGGGATGGAGGGTCGGATTTTAATTTGAAAAAGATTCCCAATAATATTTGCGAAACAAATTCGCAAGGACCCCGGTACATGTACGCGAGCGCCCCGTCATGTGACTCATACGGTGATTTTTATCATCCAAAAACGCACAGCGGCATGCGAGCGGAAAGAGGAGGATGGAAGGGAGGGGGACAAGCTAGGTGCGCTCGCGTCATATCTGTCGTCATACCCCTCCCTCCCAGCCCTTACCATGGCGCAGATCTCCTCTTTATGCGCACAGGCTGATGTCGAGCAAAGCGATGATCCCGAGAGGGTTTGCGATGCATGGTAAAGCACGGCATAGCCTGGTGCAGAAGAGCGCGGCAGAGCAGAGCATGCCATAGCATGGCTTGGCATTGCGTAGCGTAGCATTGCATCAACAAATCATAACGTCGCAAAGCATGGCATCGCACAGAACCTCCAAACAGGGCAACATGGCCGAAAAAGCACCCAAGACGGCCCCAACCGCCCCGACTGCTCAAAGATCGCCCCAAGACGCCCTACGTGGCGTCCACAGGCCCAAGAGGCCCCCAAGACGTCCCAAGAAGCCTCGCATATGCCTCCTAACTAGACCTGAAGAGTCACAACACATTGTTTTGCGGTCGTTGTTTCAAAGATTGCGGCGTTCCCGAGGTCCCGCATGCCACCCCAGCATTGCCCAAGAGGCCGCCCAGAGAACCCCATGACGGCCCCAAAAGTGGCCCAAAAGAAGGAACACAAACCACACATCGTAGCGTTCCGCCCCAAGAGGCCCCCAGGAGGCCCCAAGAGGCCCCAAAAGGCTGCAAGAAACCCCCAAGAGACCCAACAGCGAACCCACGAGGCTCCAAAACTGCTCCCAAAAGGAATCCGAGATGCAACAAAGAATCTGGAGACTCGTCTGAACCCCTTCCTGCCATGCTCGGAAAAGCACCCCGACAACAAACGAATCAAACATTCGTCGCTCCATGGGGGTCGGCGGCAGAGGCGGCAGCCTTGAGATAGGAGCGGGAGGAGGAATGATGATGATGATGATGATGATGATGATGATGAGGAGGAGGAGGAGGAGGAGGAGGAGGAGGAGGAGGAGGAGGAGGAGGAGGAGGAGGAGGAGGAGGAGGAGGAGGAGGAGGAGGAGGAGGGGAGGAGGAGGAGGAGGAGGAGGGGAGGAGGGAGGAGGAGGAGGAGAGGAGGAGGAGAGAAGAGGAGGAGGAGGAGAGGAGGAGGAGGAGGAGGAGGAGGAGGAGAGAAAGAGGGGAGGAGGAGCCGGCGTAGGAGGAGCGGGACAGGGCAGGGGCCGCGGGCGCAGGAGCGGGAGCCAGAGCAGGCAGAGCACGGGAGCGCGGGGCCAGGGAAGGAGCAGCAGGGGGCAGCAGGAACAGCAACGGCACGATCGGCAGCGCGCCCTCCTCCTCCTCCTCCTCCTCCTCCTCCTCCTCCTCCTCCTCCTCCTCCTCCTCCTCCTGGGGGGGGGGGAGGCAGGAACAAGGAAAGGCGACACCAACACCATCAGGGTGAGGAGATGCGAGGAGGCAAGGGGGAACTCCCAGGTGGTGTGGTCCCCCCCTCGCGCTCGAGACGTCCCCGGCCTCCAGCTCGGATGGCGATGGTGTTGGTATCGCTTCTCCTCCCTCCGAGGAGGTAAGAGGGTGCGTGCCTTCCCAGAAAGCTCGCGAAGGCCTCCAGGCTTCCGATGAGCTCTATGAACCCTCCCAGAAGGCCGACGGGCTTCTGCAGATCCCCGCCGCCCTCTGAGGAGGCCTGCCCCCATCTCGTCCCCCCTCAGGCGGGCCGCAGATGCGAGGGCAAGGAGAGGAGCGGGAGCACGACCGGGAGTCAGGCTGGCCAGCTCGCTGTTGGGACCGGAAGGCGCTCCCGCCCTGCAAACGGAAGGCGCCTCGCGCGCGTGCGGCCCCTCTTCCCGCGATTTGGTGAAGAGGAGAGGAGGAGGAGGAGGAGGAGGAGGAGGAGGAGGAGGAGGAGGAGGAGAAGGAGGAGGAGGAGGAGGAGGAGGAGGGGGAGGATGATGATGATGATGATGATGATGAGGAGGAGGAGGAGGAGGAGGAGGAGGAGGAGGAGGAGGAGGAGGAGGAGGAGGAGGAGGAGGAGGAGGAGGAGGAGGAGGAGGAGGAGGAGGGAGGAGGAGGAGGAGGAGGGGGAGGATGGGGAGGAAGAGTAGCTACGCGGGCCGCACAGGGGCGGGAGCGGCGAACCTTCCGATGGGCGCGGCGAGGACGATGCATGCGCCGCGCTGGCACGGCACTGCCGCGTTCGCTCACGAGCTGCGCGGCGCTTGGGCGAAGTCGGCGCCTCGCCCGCTCTCGCGCGGCCCCGTGCCGCTGTCGCTTCCAAGCGCTTCGGCAGACGAGCACTGGCCATCGCTGGGACGTCCATTCCCCGTGCTTTTTTTTCGGCTTCGTGCGTGCTTTTTCGCCGAGTGATCAACGATGCTCCTCGATGGTACTGGCCGAAGGCAAAATGCACACGTCCGAGCGATGCCGAGAGCAGCGCGCCGCGCCCGCGCTGGAGCGCCACTTCCCGGCGGCACGCGCGCGCGGAGCCAAGGGAGGAGGGCGGCGCGTCGCCCGCTCGCGCGGGCCCCCGAAGTCGGCGAGCGGAAGATAGGAAGGCCCGTCTAGGCAAGGGCGCCACCTTCCGTCGGAGTCTGCGCGGCGCCGAGGCGAGCGCAATCTGTCTGCTGACGTCACGACACTGGACACCCTCACAGTCCTATCATCGAATCACACATGTATGTTGACGTCGGAAAATGCAATGCACATGTTGAGAACGTGTTTTTGTTCTCAAAAAACACATATTCTTATAACAACTATTTAACACATGTTCCAGACATCTGGAAATTATTTGGCAACATGCTTCCTCTCCACTGGTCGTCCTCCACAGCAATATGTTCGTCCGCTCGCGCGTCGACGAAACTGCGCTCGAAACGCTTGCGCCGCGACCGAGCGGAAGCCGAGACGAGAGCGGCATCTCGACCTCTCGCGCGGGAGACAGGTCGGCTGGGACGTCCCGGATCCAGTTGCTCTCCGCTAGCTGTGTGTCAGAGTAGGAATATACATATATAGATATATAGATATATATATATATATATATATATATATATATATATATACAGATATATAGATATATCTATATGCCAAGAAGAGATGAGAATGCGCAAGAACTGTCCAGTGCACAGGGTCTGGGGGGAACCCTCCAGACGGCAGCGAGGGCAGAGCCGATCTTCTCAAGACCAGGGGTACCTCCTCGACGCCTAGCCAGCTCACATGTTTCCTGGGGCCAGGCGGAGAGGCGAACGGCCCTTGCGGATAGAGCACGTCTACGCCGTGAGAAAAGCTATGGAAGTGGTTCGGCTGGAGCCGTCGTCTTTGGCTGAGTGGCCCTGATATCGTACCGTGTCGTTCTCTTCGCATGCTCCCGTCTCCCCTTGTCATCGCCATTCTGCCTCGTCCACCGTTTACAACCAATTGCTATTTTCTTTTACTGATTCTGATCCTCCCTCGCCAAATCATCCAACTACCCGTCCTGCTGCTCATCCTCCCTCCGCTGTTCTCCCTTCATCGTCCTCCCCCTTTTCTCCATCCTCCATCCCTGGGGAAGAGAAGAAGGAGGGAAGGGAGAGGAGGGAGAATGGAGAAGGATTGAGGGAGATGAAGGAAGATGGGGGGCGGCAACTAGCATCCTCTAACCAACCCATGCAGCTGCAGGAGGCGTCACGCGCAACGCCCCACCCTACAGCCTATTGTGACGACTGCGTTGACATGTTGTCATGGCCCCGTACAAGGCATCATCAGGGAGGGGTGCCTGCTACTATCGAAAATCGAAGCACTGTACACAGAAAGTTCGCTCCACATGTAATCAACGAAAATTAACCGCAATGCTTTCTGTTTGGAGTGCGAGCATGCTGCAGCAGAGGCGGGAACATGGGCAAACCTGATCTGGATCGAGTCGCAACATCGGATTGGATCGGAAACGGATCGGGCTGCAAACGAATCGAGCCGAAATCGTATCGGGGCACCCAGCCAGCTCCGGCTGGTCCTGGGCGATGCCAGTGAGTCGGTGAACCGATCCGAATCAAAGCGGACCGCACCCTGAGGAGAGTCCGAACCCTCCAGCACGAAGGGGCTGATCTCCAGGACACACACTGGAGCCTCAATGTTGGAGCCTCAATGTTGGAGGAGGAAGTGAGGAGGAGGAGGAGGAGGAGGAGGAGGAGGAGGAGGAGGAGGAGGAGGAAGTGAGGAGGACCAGCCCGCGAGTCGTGCCGCGTCGACTCGGATGGCTGGCGGCCCCGATCGGCGGGGAGCCAAAGATGGCCACTCGGCACGCGCGCCGGCACTTCTGCGGCCGCCCTCCCGCGCTGACCCGCCGGCGAGGCGCGGGCAGAAGCGCACCCGGGGAGGGAGCCGCGCCTGCTCAGCGGATCGGCCAGGGCGCTTCCGGAGCCCAGCAGCCCTCTGGGCGCAAAAGTTGCTGCCGCCTCTGCTCTGCCAGCCACCCGCTCCCCTTCGATGGCGGGGTTGCCCCTTCCCCCTCACCCAGGTCCTGGGGTCTCGGCGAATGGGAGGAGGAGGAGGAGGAGGAGGAGGGGGAGGAGGAGGATGAGGAGGAGGAGGAGGAGGAGGAGCAGGAGGAGGAGGAGGAGGAGGGGGAGGAGGAGGAGGAATAGGAGGAGGAGGAGGAGGAGGAGGAGGAGGAGGAGGAGGAGGAGGCGGGGTTTGCCCGAGGCGGTGGGCGCTCCCCCATCGCCCCCCCGCCTCCCCCCCTCCCCCCCCCTTGCGCCCCCCCCCCCCCCCCCCCCCCCCGCTCCACGACCACCCGTCCCCCCCTCCAGGGCTGAGCCCCGAGAGACCCTCGGAGATCTCTGAGTTCACCCTTGGCGGCCCCTCCGCTTCGGCATACGTATGCTCGTGGTCTCCCGTTCTCCCGACAACTCGCCTGGGCATCGTCATGGATGGGCTGCTGTGGACACGCGACGCGCCAAGAACGTCTTCGACAAGCCGATTCGAGCAGACACGACCATCGTCGAACGAATCGGCACGACATATCAGAGAGAGGTTGACCAAGTAGCATTGACTAAACACGAATGTGGAGGAGACCAGTCCGTGCAACATGATGCGTCCGTCCGCCACTCACAAGTGCCGCACATGGCCTGACCCGTTTCGCTTGTGTTCCGTCTCCAGTGCAAGGCTCACTGTTGCGTGATCGGCCACTGGTCTCCAAGAACAAGCCCTCGCATGCCATGGCGAAGAGGCTCCTCGTAGGCCTTCTCCAAGACACCAAGGAACTTTCGCAACTTCTCGCCGTCAACATTCTCGCCTACCCACCACGAGCTGAACCCCTTGTACATAATGATGAATCCGCAGGCCCCGAGCTTCAGCTCCTTTCCCCACTCCAGCACCTCAGCGCGGATCCCTCCGACCTCCCCTAGAAGGGGAAGAGAGCAAGGGGGAGGACGGGAATGGCACACGAGGAGTGTGGAGAGTGGGGGGAGACAAACTAGTTGCGCCCGCGCCAAATCTGACAATCCGACCCCTCCTACCGATCCCTTCCCACTGCGCTGTGTTGTATACATCCGCCGACGGGTGTCATAGCCGACCTGGCACCCATAAGAAGACCCCATCATGTCATGCGCACTCAAAAAAGGGGGAGCTGTATACATTGGAGGTGGTGGCGAATGGGCAAGAGGATGGGCAGGAGGAAGAGGACAAGGATGAGGAAGGAGGAGGACAGGGAGGAAGCACAGCAGCAGGAGCAGGAGTAGGAGGAGCGGGAGAGGCAGGAGGGCCAGGGGAAGGTCGAGGAGGAGAAATCAGTGGGTCGGCAACGACGGGGAAGGACTCGGATCCAGACTTGTGGCCCGCGCTGGGGCGAGAGAGCCGTTCTGAGCGACGGGAGCAAAGCGTAGACCAACGCTGCAGCGGGAACACCACTCTGAAGCATCGAAAGCGCTTCAATTGGACAACGCATTTCCAAAGCACATGTGGGAATCCCATCATGCGCCGACACGTGCGGGAGAAGAAGACCCGCTTGGACAGAATCTGGGAGAGAGAAACACAGCGTTCTGAATGCGCACGTGTACAAAAAAAGGAAGAGGACACGGGGGTCGCTGGTGCAAACCCGTTCAACAACAATGAAACTTGGGGGTCAGAGATGACGATCCCGTGAAAAGTCCCGGGCTGAATTTACTGTAGACGGGTGGGCCAGGGGCGCAGTTTGAGGCTCAATGTCGTCCTCGATAATAAGGGAGTGCGGACGTCGAAGGACACACTTCGGATGACAAAAACCAATGGGCGCTGAAAAATTATCAACATGCATCCGTATTCGTAATGCTAACGCGATGCGGCACGAACCGTACCACGCGTGCCCGCTACGATAAACAATCTGCTTCTCACCTTCGCTCCAGTGAAGTGTGAGATGGGCAAGATCGGTGGCGAGCCCAGAGGGAGGTGGGACGTGGCGGTACTTCTCGAAAGGCTCGGAATGTCTCCGGCAAGCTTCCTTCGGATTGCCCGAAGACACTGGAAGCTCTTAGAAGGCCAAGGTTTTCTTGAGAAGCCCCGCCGCGCTCTGGAAAGGCCTCCCGCTTTCTCAGTGCTCCCCCCCGCCCGCCGCCGGAAAGGAGAGCGAGGAAGATGCCCAGCGTCTTTAAACATTCCCAAGTGTGGCCGCCGAGATCGACGATCGCCGAACAGCCGAACCGTGGCGGAAGGTGGACTCGGCCACCATTCGGGCTGGGCCCTCCGATTCGCATGAGAAGCAGTTTGGAACAGACACTTGTGCGGCCTGTGAGGGCGAAGCGTTGGTTGGAGCCCAATGGGGGGATGTTTGCCCCATGCATGTGCCAGACTACACGGTGACAAGGTCATATAAAGAGACGTTTGTTTTCTCGTCGCACTGGCGAATCCTCACCGCGTTCGGGGGCAACCGTGGGATGCAACAGGGCCGAATCGAGCACAGCAGGCACAAAGGGGGGGGGACGAGGCGCGCGGAACAGGAAATGAACGCGTTCAAAACGTGAAGTTTTTGAACGTGTGTGCTGGAACACGCGCGCAACGTATATGTGGAAGTCCTTGGAGGAGCGGAACTCGAACCGAGGAACCACAATCCTGGGCATTGCCGAAAACGAAACAACCAAGGATGTGCTGGGCCATCCAAGGAGACGCGCAACACAGGGGGCACACACGGGGCCTAGTGGAAGAGAGAGGGGAAGGGGGAGGGGGAGGGGGAGGAAGAGGAGGAGGAAGAGGAGGACGAGGACGAGGAGGAAAAGGAGGGGCCATTCCTTCCCTCCGCCCCGCTCACCCTCCCATTCTCCTCTGCGCGCCTTTTCCCTTATCCTCCTCGCCGCCCCTTTTTCTCGCAGCAGCATCGGCTGCTCCAGCTGGCCACGCCTCGCGCCCGCCGCGGGCGCCCGCCATCGGGGCCGGCGCGTGGCCTACCCTGTCCAGAAGAAAGGGGGGGAAGGGCCGCCCACTCGCACGCCCATCCTGACCCTGAGGCCATCGAAAGGAAGAGGAGGTGGAGGGAGCGGCCGGGCGGCTCAAAGGATGTCGGAGTGCACCGCTACATCGAAACAGACGTAGTATCTTGTGCGTCGCGATGTACTTGTGTACCGTTGTCTTTAGCGCTGCAGATCGTGAACTTCTCTGGCTTCAGGCAGGCCGGTCTCGCCATAGCTACTGCGGCCGACGGAGTGCCGCGCGCTGGAACTGGCACGTAGTAGCGGACGGTGGCGGACGTCTCGTCCAGCTTCTCGACGACGCAACCGTGGTACGTCTATCTGAGCCTGCCCTGAACTGCGTCGCCGACTGCGATCGGCTTCATGATAGTCCATGTCTTCCGTGGGCCTTGTTGTTCAGCTGGCGGCCCTTGGAGCCCTGCCTGTGGTCGTCGAGGCCCTGCTCGTGGCCAGGGTAATTCAGCGCATGGTCCCCGTAGCTCGGCAGGTGGTCCTTGTAGCTCTGCTGGTAGCTGTCCTTGCTGTCCTTGCTCAGCAGGTGGCACAGCTCGTCGCCCTGGTAGCTCTGCGGGTGGCTCTCGTAGTTCTGCTTGTGGCCCGCGTAGCTCAAGTTGCTGCCCCCGTAGCTTCCCCTGATGCCCTCGTACATCAGCTGGTGGGTCTAGAAGTTCTGCTTCTTGTCCTCGCAGTTCAGCTCGTCCCCCCAGACGCTCCTCAGGAGGCTCTGGTAAGTCTTCCTGTGGTCCGCGTAGCTCTGGTTGTGGGCCTCGTGTCTCAGCAGGTGGTCCTCGTAGGTCTCGTAGCTGTACCCGCGGTCCTAGTAGCTCAGCTCGCAGTCCTCGTGGCTCTGCCCGTGTCTCTCGTTGCGGCCCTCGTATCTCCGCAGGTGGCCCTTGTAGCTGAGCTGGTGGCTCTCGGAATTCTGCATATGGACCTTGAAATTCGGCTCGTCGCCCTAGTTGTTCTGCAGGAGGCTCTTGTAGCTCTCCCTGAAATCCGCGTAGTTCTGATTGTGTCCCTGGTAGCTCAGTAGGTGGTCCTCGTCGCTCTGGTAATTCAGCTGGCGGTCCTCGGAGTGCTGCCTGTGGAGATCGAAACCCTGGTAGCCCAGCGCGTGGTCCCAGTAGGTCAGCTCATGATCCTCTTAGCTCAGCTGGTGGATGTCCTTGCTCCGCAGGTGGTACTTGCAGTTCAGCTCGTCGCCCACGTAGCGCTCCAGAAGGCTTTCGCAGTTCTGCGTGTGGCCCGCGTAGCTCAGGCATTGGCCCCCGTAGCTCTACTTGCAGCCCTCGTAATTCAGTTGGTGGGTCTCGGAACTCTGGTTCTCGTCCTTAACGTTCAGGTCGTCGCCCTAGTCGCTCAGCAGGAGGCTCTGGTCGGTCTTCCTCTAGTCCGCGTGGCTCTGGCTGTGGCCCTGGGAGCTCAGCAAGTGGCCCCGCTCTCGTGGCTGTGCACGCGGTCCTCGTAGCACAGCTGGTGCCGCCAGTAGCTGAGCTGGTGGCCCTCGTAGCTCAGCTGGTGGCCCTCGTAGCGCAGCAGGCAGTCCTCGTGGTTCAGCGGGTATTTCTTGTAGTCCTGCTTGTGGCTTTCGTGGCTCAGCTTGCGGTCCTCGTTGCCCTGCTTGCGGCTCTCGCGGCTGGGCTGGTTTCTCTCGCAGCGTGGCAAGTGGATCCTGTAGTACTTCTGGTCGTGGCTCTTGTAGCTCTGGCTGTGGCTCTCGTAGCTCAGCTCGTGGTCCTCGCGGCACAGCTTGTAGTTCTCGCGTTTCAGCTGGTGGCTCTCGCAGTCCTGCTTCTCGTAGCTCAGGTCGCGGCCTTCGTAGCTCAGCTTGCGGCTCTCCTGGCTCTGCTGGCGGGTCTCGTAGCTCGGCGCGTGGGACTTGGAGCTCTGCAAGTGGCTCTCGTAGCTGTGCGCGTGGTCCTCGCAGTTCAACTTGTGGTCCTCGAAGGTTGTTTGGTGGCCTTGGTAGATCAGCTGGTGGCTGTGGCACTTCAGAGGACACGCTCTCTTCGTATTCCCCGGGCTCCGAATCGGAGTCGTCGGCTGCCAAGTCGCAGCGTTCTACGATCTGGTGCCCCTGTAATCCTGGCGGTTGTCATAGCCCTGCGGTCCGTCGTAGTCCTGGGGGTCGTTGGAGTACAGGTCGTCATCGAACACACTGTCGTCCTGGAGTTTCTCGTAGGCGGCGCGGCCGTGGTTTGTACTCGTCGTTGGCGGTACGACGACGTACTTAATAACCCTTCTCGGGCTGCTCAGAAGTTTTTTTTTTTTTTTTTTTTTTTTTTTTTTTTTTTTTTTTTTTTTTTTTTTTTTTTTTTTTTTTTTTCCGGGTGTTTGTATTGGTGGCGTACTCGGTGTCGAGCTTAGGCTGCAAATTACGCAGCTCTTCCTCAGGCTGCATGTTACGCAGCTCTTCCTCGCGCTGCATGTTACGCAGCTCATTCCGTCCTGTAGTGATATCGAGGTGGGTAATTATCGTAGCTGATACTGTGAGTGTCCAGCTTGTAGTTTGTCAGCAAATGGGCGTCTTCCACTCGTACGCGCGCCGCCCATGCGGCTGCGCGTTCGGGCCGGCCGCCTTGCGCGGGTGGTGGGGGGCGCCCCCCCCCTTACGAGGCCACAGCGGCCTCCTCCTCCTCCTCCTCCTCCTCTTCCCTCTCCTCCTCCTCCTCTTCCCCCATTCCTTTTCCTTATAGGTAACTTCTCCCCGTCGCACTCGAAGCCAGTTTTTAGGGCGTGCCGGGCGTTTCGCCCGAGACTTCCTCACCATGTACGACCCTGAAACTTCAAAGTTGGCAACAGCTTCGCAGACGGACGGCGAGTGGTTTTCAAAATGTGACATTCACCTTAGCGCTGCGCGCATTCGGTTCAAACATCTGCAAGAGTTTCACGTACTGAGGGTGGGTCGTTTTCAAAAGGTGGCTCTCGCTGTAGCGCCGCGCGCATTCGTTTCAACAAATTGCAAGAACTTCGCGGATTGAGGGCGGGTGTTTTTAAATGTGGCTCTCGCCTTAGCGCCGCGCACATTCGTTTGAAACATGTCCGAGAGCTTCAAGGATTGAAAGGGTGTCGTTTTCAAAATGTGGCTCTCGCCTTCGTGCCGCGCATTTTCGTTTCAAAACATAGCAAGAGCTTCACGGATTGAGGGCGGGTGGTGTTCAAACTGTGGCTCTCGCCTTAGCGTTGCGCGCACTCGTGTGAAACATGTCCAAGAATTTCACGGATCGTGGGCGGGTCGTTTTCGAAATGTGGTTCTCGCTTTAGCGCCGCGCACGTTCGTTTCATCAACAGATTAGAAGAGTTTCGCGGAGTCCCATGATCAACGTATCAAAAATGGCGTTTTAGAGCGATTCAGATCAGTGACGGTGCAATAATTATGTTGCTTCGCTGTGTTGAAGTCCCAGGAATGGCGCTCTGGCGCGATTCAGGATCGCCAAGACGCAACACTCAGGCTGATCCGTGGCGCCGGAATCCCGAGAACGATGCTTTGGCATGCTTCAGGGTCTTCAAGCGTTTGTATTCCAACGAGGCAGTTCCCTCAGTGGAAATGAACCGATGTATGGGGCCTATAAGAGGGAGCTTGGAGGGAGGGTTTATTCCAACATCTTTGATGACTCTTGGGCTTACACTGGTCCTCCTCCTCCTCCGCCTCCTCCTCCTTCTCCTCCTCTTCCTCCACATCCGTTTCCTCCCGCTATCCTCCTGCTCCTCCTCCATCTTGCCTCCCCGGCGCGATGATCTGAGAGGACCCCGCTGCCCGTTTCCATACCATCACCTCGACTGCCGTGCCGTCATCGAGGCGGTGCGCTGGGGGGAAGCTCGTAGCTGCCACGCGCAATACCCCGAGGCCGATCTGTGATGCGACGTCTGGAGTCTGTGCAGCGACCTGGGCGGCAGGGGGGCGTCCAGTTCACTGCGTGCAGTATAAAACCAAACGACCACATAAGCATAACAACTCGGAGGTCCTCGCGGATTTCTTGGATCAGCGTTAGATCCCCCTGGCGGCGCCTCCAGCGCCGCCCCTGGCGCGCTCCGCGCGCCAGGCAGCGGGGTCCAGCGCCGATCCGAGAAATCCGCCCGGACCTCCGAGCTTTTATGATTATGTCCTCGTTGGTTCCCATACCATCACCCTGAAGACAAACACGCCGACCAAATCGGCGACGACTGTGTAGCCCTTAGTCCCGTGTGGCGGTGCGAAAGAGACTGCAGCGCCCTGCTCTGTGCAGCATGCAGCCGCTCCCCGCCTCCTGTTCGGATGCGGGACCGCGGGGCGCATCCACCCTGTGCGGGGCGCGCTCGCGCAGAGGGTGCGCCGACCGATGCCATGACCGAGGCCTGCGGCGGCGGCCAAATCTCGGGAGCGAGGGGCACAAACCGTCCACCCAGCTGACGAGGCACCCATCGGACCCGTCGACCCCGCAGCTCTGGAGCGGCCCCTCTCGTGCACGAGTGGCGAGGACGCGCGGCCTCAAGTCCTCGGAGAGCGGACTGGGACGTGCCAATCCACTCTGCTCATCAGCAGGTGGTGCGATCTGCTGCCGATTCGCGAGCAGCAGACAACACCTTGCCTGAGTGTGCAAGCCCCGTGCGAGAGGCACGAGCGAGGAAGCACAGGCGAGCACAAACTGCAGGAACGTAAACTGTCGGAGGTCCGCCCAAGTTTCCTGCATCGGCGCTCGACCCCGTCCCCTGGTTCGGGGGCGTCCAGGAGGGGGGCGTCCAAGAGGCGGGGGGTGGCCAGGGGGGGGGGTGCAAATCATGGCCGGCGGCATGTGCGCGGCCCAGGGGTCGCCGAGGACGTCTTGCAATCAGGCGAGGCGCCAAGAGATCTGGGGAGACATCGTGGCCCTGGCCATGCTACTCCCCCCTCTTAGCGCCCCCGACTGGTGCGCGGAGCGGAGCAGAGACTGGCTGGGCCCGCACCGCTGGCAGCGGTCGCCTCCAGCTTCTGCGGTGCCCCGTGGAGGCCGCATGTCCGCTCGGCGGGCACCGCTGCTGCGCCGTCCTGCCTCTCCCCCTGCACCACCCGACGCCGACGCTGCTGGCGTGAGCGCTGGCATAATTACGACTGCCACTCTTGTACCGGCTCGCCTCCCTCCTCTCCTCCTCCTCCGCTGTCCCTCTTCTTCTCCCCCCATCCTCCCACCTCCTCCTCCTTTTTCCTTGACGCGGGGCCAGCGTGTCGAGCCGCTGTGTGCACGCCGGCAGGCAGGCGAGCACATGGATATAACCGATCTTATAAAAAAAGCTCCGTGGCACTGCCAGCGACTCAGCCTGGGCCTCCTCCTCCTCCTCGCGGGAGGCAAAAAGAAGCCGGCACCGCTGCTCACCGGATCTCTCCAGGTGTGCGTCCCGACCAGAGCCTCGAGGCGAACCTGGCCGTGGCAACTAGGGCTCTCCAGGACGCTGCGATATCGGTACGTTTCTTCTCCCTGGACCCCTCGTCCTCCTCTTCCTCCTACTCCCCCTCGTTCTCCTTCGCCTCCTTCTCCTCCTCCTCCTCCTCCTCCTCCTCCTCCTCCTCCTCTTCCGACGACGACGACGACGACGGCGACGACGGCGGCGACGACGATGACGACGATGACGACGAGGCCGCGCCCGACACAGCGAACCGACCCGGTGGGGGGGTGGGTCGCTGGCCGTGCCGAGCGCACGCCGAGCTCCGGGCGTCGCAGTCCGGCGAGTCCAGGGACACGAGCACGTCGGGCGGGATGCAATCCTGCTGCCCAGGGGCCGGGCCGGAGAGGAGAGCAGCCTGCTCTCCTCCGTCCGCTCCTCCTCCTCCTCCTCCGCTCCGCTCCACTCCACGCTCCTGCTCCGTCTCTCCTCTTCCCTCCTCGTCGGCCTCTCTCTAGCCAGCCATTGCCTTGCAGAAGCAGTCTTTAGTAAGAGCAGGGGAGGGGGCCACGTGCGAACCCTACCCGTCGGTCGGAAGAAGTGGGTAAAAACATGAAGTAGGAAGGCGGATTGAGTCGATTGGGTCCAGACCCCCCCAGGGAATAACAAAACACAGCAAAAGCGCGTCGGTTCATGGAGTAGGAAGGCGCTTGAAGAAGATTGAGATCTGGGAATCCAAAAAAAACACCTGCTCTCAACGACCGTCGTGCACCCCTGCCCCCCATGGTTTCTGAGGGGGAGGGGTAGGGTTCGCATGTGGCCCCCCAGCAGGGGAGGGCAGGGGAGCAGGCGCTGCAGGAAGGGGCCTGCTCGCCTGCCCGTCGGAGCAGTGCAGGGGATGGGAGGCGACGAGATGGAGTCGGACTGCTCGCCCCGCCTGTCCTCCTGCCCCTGCTTTCCGGTCCTGGCCCTCCTGTCCTGCCCCTCCTGGAGTTTACTTTCTTGCCTCTCCCCTGTCCTCTCCTCTCCCTCACCGTTCTACCTTTGCTTCCTCTCTCCTCCTTCTGACCCTACACTGACGCTCATCGAAGCGATCGCCGCGCCTGCCTGTCTATACGACTGCACAACATGAATACTACTCTCCTCTCTCCCCTGGTGACGTTCGGAAAATGTCTGGCCCCCCTCCGCGTATTGTTTTTTACACACGGGATGCCCGGGAGTCCCGGGAGTTGGGTTTTCGCTGGTTCTTTTGCCAACATGTTGTTTCCGCTGAGGCGCTGGCCTCAATTTCGGGCTTCCGCTCGTTCCGAATCGAGCTCCCGCTGCAGCGCTGGCCTCATTTTCGCGCTTCCGCTCGTTCCGAATCGTGCTCCCGCTGCAGCGCTGGCCTCATTTCCGCGCTTCTGCTCGTTCCGAATTCTGGTCGTTCCAGATCGTGCTACCGCTTCAGCGCGGACGTTTCCCGTCCTTTCAAATAGGCCCAAATCTAAAAAATAACCACCCGAAAAAACATTTGAAGTGATTACACATCAGGTGCCGATTCGTTGATTTGTGGGGCCGCAGAAAGCCCCCCCACTTTGGGGCGTCGGTGTTTTAAGGAAGTATCAGGCGGGAGCCCGTTTCTGCTTTGAGCAGGCGATGTTGAAAGCAGCGCCAGCGGTTTCTCTACATCAGCCCCGCCTCGTGGGGAGCTTTCCGGGGAGCCCAGAGAGCTGAACATGGAGCCGCGACTTCAGACCGGCCCAGATCTCTCGAAGACGATCAACTTACCCTGGAACCCGGTGCCATGCCATGACATGCAGCGCGATGTTGTGTTCTGTGCCGCTGTGCGATGTCATGCTTTGTGATGCAATGCTTCACTACGCAATGCCACCCCATGCTATGACATGCTACGCTCTGCAGTGCTCTTCTACGCCATGCTATGTCGCGCTCTACGATGCATCGGGTACCCTCCTGGGATCATGGACCTGCTCGACATCCGACTGTGCGAATGGAGCGAAGATCTACGCCATGATACTGGATGGGATGGAGGGGTAGGACGTCAAAAATGACGCGATCGCACCTAGCTTGCCTCTTCCTCCTCCCCTCTTTCCTCTCCTCCCGTCTCCTCCGCACCGTCGCGGGAGGAAGGGATGAGTAGACGTAGCCTGAGGCGCGCCGATCCGTCCGAAGAGGAACCGGCGCACTGACTTCACATGAGAAAGGGCCTCACCGCGATCGAGCAGAGGACCGCCAGGAAAACAGGCCCAATAGAATATGAAGGAGCGGCATGCCAATGCTCAACGGCCAAAGGCGGGAGACCACTCCACAGATGCTTGCTGGCGCACCGGGGGGGCACGATTCGTCCGCCCCACAGGGCGCAACAAACTAGAACCAAAGGGTGCGGCATCGTGCGATCGTGGATGGGCCAATACGCCCAGAATTCGCGATAGCGGATGGGCCGGCTCGCCCAAAACATGCGACAGCGGATTGGCTGGCACGCCCGAACAGAAACATGCGCTTTTCATCAAGAACCCAAGTGTTCCAGCCGCCCCACGGTACCACCCGCTCCACACTAGCCCACCCACAACTTATAGTTCGGCGCTCTGGCGTGCCGCTATCAGGCATCAGTGAGCAACGACGTAACAGCAGCGGTAGCGTTCTCTCTGACGCTTTGGTGAAGAGCCGAGCTCGAATTTCAGTGTGGGACAGATGAAATGCGATGATCATCCTGCGTGTGACTGCTGGGCGCTAGCAGAGTCTAGGGAGACAGGGTTATGCTCGATGCCGAGCCCCCACATGACGAGTGAGCGGGGAATTCGGGAAGGCACGGGGGGGGGCGGCGAAGTGCGTGAGATGGGAGAAGCTGCCAGTAATGGCACATCGAGTCCCGTGCAGAGCAACCGAAGAGGCAAGGACGAGGCTTCAGGACGTGCATCCTGTGGGACGTGATCGGGAAGAGAACGTGGAGCGGGGGGAGATCGTTGTACACCACGCGCACAGCACCACGCTGCGAGACGGGAAAACGTCACGCGAACCCAAGGTACACCCCGCGCCCCAGCCCGCCATGGGCGAGCTCGTGCAGCGACCCGTGGCCTGAGGCGCTGCTCGGGGCGGAGCAGGAGCAGGCAGCGGCCCCAGGCTCGGGCGAGGAAGAGGTCAGGGGAACAGGCAGCGACGTGGAGCAGGAAAACTCTGAGATCCGCGGACTCCTCGGATCGGCGCCGGACTTCCCCTCCCTGGCGCGGGGAGCGCGCCAGGGGCGGCGCCGGAGCCGCCGCCAGGGGGCTGCAGCGCCGAGCCGAGGGGCCCGCGCGGAGCTGCTGGCGAGCGAGCGCGGGTGGAGCGCGTCGCCTCCGAGAGGCGGGCGCAGGGCGCGTGCGCGCTCGCGGCCTGCCCGGTCAGCGCTGTTGTGATAGGTTTCGACGTCTGGCCAGATTATTTTACAAAGTAGACGTAATAACCTCTATCAAAGTAGACGTTTTCTTCAAAGTAGACGTTTTTTTGTTTAAAGTAGTCGTTTTTCAAAGTAGACGTCTACCTAGCCAGTCTGGCTAGGTAGACGTTATAACCCAGGCTCCGCAGATCCTCAAAGTGGCGGGCGGTTGCGTGCCCTTTAGATGTGGCCCAGTGGC